TGCAGAATTATAGGTTTGAATAGGGAAAGGAAGAACAACTTTTGTTCGAGGTCTGTATGATAAAAAACAGGCACACAGGCATAGTACTGTTTTCCTCAGACCTTATGTATAAAAACACTGATAAAAGGTATATTTAAAATACTGGTTTACACACCACCAGATTTGTCGCCAAGATTTACTTGTAAAGTAAACCTGTAGAACACAAATCTTTATCGAAACACAAAAAGACCGGTCTGATTTCTTTTTATTTTGGTCTTCCTTTTAGACAGAGAAATGCAACGAGTAAATTGTCTGCAACCGAGGACCATCGTGTGTTGCATCCATAGTCTCTCCAACGGAGTGGTTGGAGAGACTATGAATTAACCTTATAAAATAAAGGTAGTGTAGGTGAATGACTGCATGGGTTTATTGTTTGGGAAGAATTTGTTTTCTAGGCCTAATCTACTACTGTGATCGAAGAAGATTGCTATTTTTCGGTGTACATAATTCATAAGACTATTAACTCGATGTAAAATTTGCTTCACTCTTGCACTGTCAAATTATTTTTCTCTAAGGAATCACTTTCAAAAGTCTCATGAATGTACCTTAAAGTTAACTGATTAATGTTTATAGTTTTATTTAAATTATTAATTTATTAACGTGGGCTTAGCTTTTAGCTCTGGCTAAATCTATATATTTATCAATTTATGTCCAAACAGTGTGGAAGCCTTTTTATTGTTCGTACTGATAGTTAATTACACAGTGAATAAACATAGAAACAAAAGCCAAGTAAAGTCTTACTTTTAATAGTCGTTCACCCGTAACAGACTTAGCCGGATATTGTTTTGCGGAGAACGAGATGTCGCCTAACGAATATTCTTCAAAGTAATAAAACAGTATCTAGTGGCATCAAATACTCTCAAAACTCGAGTTGTCGGCGTTTCTTTTGGACAAGAGAGGACGTTAAGGCCCCGTTCACTAAAAAACCAATAATCCGGAAAGTTTTTTGAAACCGCAATTTCTTACACAATATTTGACCTTCCGATTCGTTCACACGAAACAGGTGAATCCGCTCACCGAAAAAGCGTGGGTTTTTTTAACTGGTTTCTAGGGTGGTTTCCATGCACACGCATCCTAGTTAAAAAAATATGCGGTGTCAAAACTGTTGGGATTGGTTTGGACGGACGTGGCCTAGTTTGTTTGGTTAAGTGTCATTAATTATAATGATAGTTTGCGTGAGGTATCTGCCTCTTACAATGTTTGATCATGCGTTCGAATTCAGATCACGCTAATATCACTTCAGATGCAGTTAGCTGAAGGTTTCCCTGCTTACGATTTTGACCACGCTGGATAGGGGTTCATCTTTTTCGGAATTGTTGAATTTGACCTTTTGAAAGAGAGAACTTTCCTCCACAGTTGGCAGCCGTCATTCTTGGCACCGTTGAAACTGGTATAGCTGAATGTTATCCGCCGTGGCAGTACTCTGCATATCAGCCCATGTCCTTGACACGATGTCTCCTATAAGAGCCGCAGGCCTGCCTAGCATACAGAGAGT